GAGAGAGATAGTTTGGGAGTGATGGAGAGAGAAAGAGAGAGATAGTTTGGGAGTGATGAAGAGAGAAAGAGAGAGATAGTTTGGGAGTGATTGAAAGAGAAAGGGAGATAGTTTGGGATTGATAGAGACAAAAAGAGAGAGATAGTTTGGGGGTGATGGAGAGAGTGAGTGTGAGAGAGAGAGAATGATAACTCTTTGGCCACAGGTGAGGTCCCAGAGGACTGGAGAATAGCCAATGTTGTCCCATTGTTTAAGATGGGTAACAGGGATAATCCTGGAAATTACAGACCTGTGAGTCTCAGGTTGGTGGTAGGGAAATTATTGGGAAAGATTCTCAGGAACTGGATCTATACACAGTTAGAAGCAAACGGACATATTAGCAATAGACAGAATGGGTTTGTGCGGGGAGGGGAGAGAGGTTGTGCCTCGCTAACTTGATTGAGTTTTTTGAGGAAGTGATGAAGATGATTGATGAGGGAAAAGCGGTTGATGTTGTCTGCGTGGACTTCAGTAAAGCCTTTGACCACGTTCCTGATGGCAGACTGGTACAAAAGGTGAAGTCACATGGTATCAGGGGTGAGCTGGCAAGATGGATATAGAACTGGCTTAGTCATAGGAGACAGAGGGTAGCGATGGAAGGATGCTTTTTGGAACGGAGGCCTGTAACTAGCGGTGCTCCACAGGGATCAGTGCTGGGACCTCTGCTGTTCGTGGTCCACTTAAATGATTTGGAGGAAAACATAGCGGGTCTAATTAGTAACTTTGCAAACGATACAAAGATTAGGGGAGTTGCGGACAGTGAGGAGGATTGTCAGAGGATAGAGCAAGATGTAGGTCAGTTGGAAGTTTGGGCAGAAAAATGGCAAATTGAGTTTAATCTGGAAAAATGTGAGGTGGTGCATTTTGGAAGGTCAAGTACAGGTGGAAATTATACAGTGAATGGTAGAACCCTTATGAGTATTGATATGGAGAGGGATCTGGGTGTGCAGGTCCACAGATCACTGAAGGTGGCAGCGCAGGTCGGTAAGGCAGTAAAAAAGGCCTATGGCATAAGTGCCTTATTGCAAAGGGGCATTGAGTATGAGGATAGGCAAATTATGCAGCAGCTTTATAGAACTTTAGTTCGGCTACACTTGGAATATCGTGTACAGTTCTGGTCACCACACTACCAGAAGGATGTGGATGCTTTGGAGAGGGTACAGAAAAGGTTACCAGGATGTTGCCTTGTATGGGGGGTTTGTAGCTATGAAGAACGGTTGGATAGACTGGGTTTATTTTCACTGGAACACAGGAGGTTGAGGGACGACCTGGTAGAAGTTTATAAGATTGTGAATGGCGCGGATAGAGTGGAAAGTAATGAGGCTTTTTCCCAGGATGGAGGGGTCAGTTACTGGGAGACACAGGGTCAAGGTGTGAGGGGGGGGGTGGAGTTTAAAAGAGAGGTGCAAGGCATGTTTTTCACATGAAGAGGGGGGGGGGGGGGGGGGGGGGGGGTGAGTGCTTGGAACGCGTTGCCAGAGGATGTAGTGGAAGCAGACACAATAGCAGGATTCAAGAAACACAGGGACGAATACATGAATAGGAAGGGAAATAGAAGGATACAGATCCTGTAAGTGAAGACAGTTTTAGTATGGAAGGGCAAAATGGGTCAGCACAGGCTTGGAGGGCCGAATGGCCTGTTCCTGTGCTGTATTGTTATATGTTCCTTTGAATGATGGAGATGGAGAGAGGGAGAGAGTGACAGAGAAAGAGAGACAGAGAGAGAGAGAAACTACCTGGGAGTGATAGAGAAATAGAGAGAGAGAGAGATAACCTGGGAGTGATAGAGAGAAGAGAGAAAGAAAGAGAGAGAGAGAGAACCTGGGAGTGATGGGGAGAGAGAGAGAGAGAGAGAGAGAGAACCTGGGAGTAATGGAAAGAGAGAGAGAGAGAGAGAGAAAGAACCTGGGAGTAATGGGGAGAGGGAGGGGGAGAGAGAGAGAGAGAGAGACAGAACCTGGGAATGATGGAGAGAGAGAAAGAGAGAGAACCTGGGAGTGGTGGGGAAAGGTAGGGAGAGAGAGAGAAAACCTAGGAGTGATGGAGAGAGAGAGAGAGAGAGACAGGGGGAGAGAACCTGGGAGTGATGG